TTCCGTCCATCCAGTTTCAGCGATGCCATCAGCATTCACTGAAAACGCAGTGGAAACCTGTCGAAGAAAACTTTTAAATCCCCTAGCCTGATGATTTTTACCAAGTGTATACGCCAGACCGCATTCGGAATCAGCCATACCTCTATCGTCGACCACCGACTCTCTACCAAACCACTCACTCACCAAACCACTCCAACTGGCTCTGGTACAGCGCTGCCTCTCATTCGCTGGCACATTCCTCTTCAGAACTGGGGCGAAAATGCTCCACGAAATCAGCACAAATGATGTTTAGCTACATTGCGATTGTCCATATCACTTTGTGTGCATGATGGTATCCAAGACAGCTGTTGCAAGAGCTACGTGTTGTACTCCCTCGTCTCATAGCGTTTCTTTTCACAAGGGGAGGTACGTTCGATGTGGATTTCTTAACTCCTTCTAACCACTTATACCTCAAGGCCATACCTGATATGCGACAAAGTGTGTTCTATATGCTCAATTTCCCTAATTTCTGGCGAATTGCAGAATCTGTGAAGACTCCTAACCGAAGGATTGGAAGCCATGCCTACCTTAGGCAACTACCCCAGTCCCATGTTGTGTGGGAATGCTTTCAGCAACCAAAGCGACACTAGCTGTTAGCCATCTGATTATTTGCGTTACGAAGCTGTCTACAGTGCTTGTATGACGATGTCAACTAAGTGAACACGCAATACTTTCTTCATTTCTCTACTAACTGAGTAGAACTAGATACATGGATGAACAGCACCGAAGCCAGAAGACACTAGCACAAGGATAGAGACACACAACTCCAAACCTCATTAATTTATTTTGCACCCCGTCCTTCGCTAAATGGATCTGCTTATTGGCCAGTGTTTTTACGACTAGCAATGCGCACACAAGCACTCCTCTCTTCCCGCAGTACACCTCCCCAACATGACAAAACTCCAGATGCAGTGGAATCGCCAACAGGGTTCAAAGATGATGCGGAAAAATATCTTTTCGGTAGTAAGGCATTGCACTTCCACTGGACCTGCGGGCGGTGCCGGTAGCCCCGCAGCACACCCGTACGCTGGTAGTGCATTGTCTACCCTACCATTATGACTGCTACCGACTTTAGCAAGGACTCGGGGTGCTACACTTTCCTTAATTTTCAAAAAATGGTTCAAAGACAAAGTTTTATCTGCTGAAAATTTGTTGACTTTGTTACTACATTGGAAGCAAGAATATCTCCAATTTTCTGTAAGTTTAGTTTGATTTGATCAAGCATGCATTATTTCCTAATTGTTCTATTGCAGAGAAACCTGAAGCGCCTATGCAAATACACTTAAAGTAAACATTTTTAAATATCACCATGTATTCTACTGCAATGCACGTTAGTGTGAAATGGCCTTGTGATTGGCAGGCAGCAGACGGGCAGATCGGACGAACCCAATGACTGGGCAGACGTCATCGCTCCTCAAGTTGGAAGCAAATCCTGATCACCCATACAAATTTCATTAATTGACATCTTCCAGAGAATGAAGGTGGAGGTGGTAGAACAAATGGTGGAATTAATTCAGTTTTCTGAGGGGAGGCATTCTTACCCAATAATGTTAAGAGAGAGTTTATCCTACTCACCAACAAGGTTACTCAATGTGCCGGCTTGCCACCTCCAGAAGGCGTATTTGGACAAGCATGCTTTAGCCCATGAGATATTTATAAATTGCTTAAAAATTTGAGCCTATTCGCCTGATCATTATGCCGTCCATCTTCTAAGGCGGGCGTCATTATATCCCCAGAAGTTTCATGTGCTTATTGATATACTGGCATAAGATATTAGCATGGACTTCTTGCTGAAGACCAAACAACGTTTGTCTGTAGAGTCAGTCTACTGGAGCTTGTATGCAATCAGGACAACTTCCTTCTGAGCAGCCAGGCTGGTGGGGGCTAGAGAATCAGATGGAAGAATGCTTCAGTTCTATCTATCCA